ACTGGAAGTTGTGGAAAGAGAGAGAGGAGAGGCTATGGCACAGTTCATTCTGTTCCCCTCATCTCAGTCATATTAGGCGTAATCTTGCCTCTGTTGAAAAAATTCCTCATAGAAAAAGAGTTTTTATGTGAACGTTGGACTGGCCTGGGGCAGAACGTGAATATTATGCAAATCAAAACCTGAAAAATATCATAATCCCTGATTGCACTGCTGTTCACTTTAACAGCTATAATATGACCAACAAGAATGTGAATTTTGTGCCCTTCATTACATTCAGGAGTTAAAAAACTCTTTGCTATGAATGATAATTTTTAGAGCTACTATTTCAGGATATTTTTCTGCAGATTCAAACAATGTTGTAATGTATTCAGAGCATCTGCTTGAGGGTTTCCTGCTTATAAGATAGGAAATTTTGTAGATACAATAACATTTTACCAGTGTAGACATTTTTCTAGTATTAGTCTTTATTTCCATAACTATTTTCACTGGTGATTTAATAAATAATTCATTATATTCTATTTATGAATTGTATCCTCATATACACCCTAAGAATCCATTAGAGCTTATGTGATTGCAAGAGTATGTTGTAATTACGAAGAACTGGCATCTCACAGTGGTATTAGTAAGAATGTATCTAGAAAATAAATGTTTTTCTAAAAATACATACAGCACATTTCCTTATGACTTCTTCACTTCCTCTTTTTCTTCAAAAGCAGCTTATAAAGGCACTATGCACCTGCTTTTTTCTTCTTACATCTGTGTCTAGATGAGAAAGAAGGCAGTAAGGTTAAACTGTAGGGACTTTTTTTATGATTGCAAGGATTCTTGGCTTCAAAAATCAGTTAATTCCAGTGCCTTTCATCTTCTAATCTAAGCAGGACAACAAAGAAAGCATTCATAGACACATGTGACATGGAGTAGTCTAATGGCATTAGAACAGTTCAGTGAAGCATTAATGAATTTAGGGTGATGGCAGCAAACTGTGCTAAGATCTAATCTGCTCTGTGGTAAGTGGTTTTCATAAATAACCACAAACGCAAAAAAAGAAACAGTTAAGACTCTGACTAAAATCTTTTATTTTCAGAAAAAAAATCAACTAATTTTCCTTTGACATCAGTAGTTAGTTTCTTGCTTGCTTTTTCCTATTACTGGAAATTTTTTCAGCCCACAATGCCTCTCATGCTGTTATCATCAAGTGGAGACTCTCCAAGTATCGGATATTCAAAAAACATTTTTGCCTATGATCACTATGATCACATGTTCTTCACGCCCCTAGCCTCAGCAGCTACTTGGAAATGAGTTTCAAACACAAGCTTTGCACAGAAAAGTATATGGTATGATGTTGAGTATGTAGTCTGTTATGGTATATATTTATTCCTACTTCATATTGGTCACTTTTTCACCATCCTTGTTACCATACATCTGTGTCTGTTCATGTATTTGGGTGAGGTGGACATGCAAAATGTTAAATCAGCAATGTTTGTGAGATAAAGACAAAATGTGAATGCTGGCTCTTTATACAAGACTTGATCCTGCCTCACTGATATCAAAAAGATTTTTGCCATTGACTTAACTGAACATGGTGATGGAGATGATAGGAACTTCTGCTAGATTGTTACCAGAATCCTATAAAGGAATGTGTTGGGCTTGAGGAGAGAAATATATGTGGAAACTTCCGTTCACATTCCTCCATGACTGGTGGTCACAGGTTGGTGCTGACAAAAGTTTTCAAAAGTTTTGTAACTCCATTAAAGGCATGCACTTTGAGGAGAACAATGGTTTTTGTACTTGAAATAAAGCAAAAAAAAAAAGAGTACTTCTGGTATTTTTACATGTCTGTGCGCTTCCATGTATCTCATGTTGTTTATCTGAAGGAATACATGCTCTTCAAAATGCTATCAACAAAAATAATCTAAAGCACATTCTCCCTTCCCAAGATGCCGATAAAGAAGCAATATTGGAAGGAGACAATGAGCACAAGCAGGAATTGAACAGGATCTTAGGATCTGTCAGATCTTGTCACTGAAGATAGAAGAAGGCATGCTGAGGGGAAAGGAAAGGGTGGCAATAAAAAGAGGTGCAAAGGATCACAGTAAAATGTGGAGATGTCCGTCTGCCCGGATGTTCCTACAGGGTGGGTAAATAGAATAAAGGTAGGCTTGCTTTAGCTGCCCAGTATTAATACAAGCAACACTAAGCAATATTGAGTGTCACATAGACTGGCTAATTGCATGGGTACCCAAAGGTCTGGGAGGAGGATTGGTAAAGCACAAATAATGGCTTTGTTATCAGCACCCAGGCCACCAAGATCAAAGCCAACATCGATAAGAAGAAAAGTTTATTAGTGCACCAGTAATATTTATAATTCTACCCCAGATACATTGTAGTAGTCTTCTTAGGAAAAGAAAATGTATCTCTAAGGGTACTGTCATGAGAGAGAAACCATAGAAGCAGGGCAGGATAGAGGTGAATCCACAGAGAAGTCTTATTTTCTCCCAGACTACTTATTGATTTTAGTGGGACTTCTCAGGTCAGCAGAGATGGAGGAAAAGACAAAACTGTCCTTCTGCTATCAGAAATGCCTTGAGAATCAGATTTACAAAAAGAGATTACATAGAATTGATTGCCTTCCTTAGCCTCATTTCCTCATTTCAGTAATATTATTAGTTATAAATCACAGAAGGACAGCTTTATATGGAATTACATAATTATTAATATCACAACATCACCATCATCCCCCCGTCAGTTATCATTCATGTATGTTGGAAATCCCAATAAAATCTATCTAACTCTAGACTAATAACATGGATGCACTTTTCCCTCTTCCCTCCCTTCTGTTAGCCTGTTTTTTATCTTACTTAATTTTTATTCTATTATTGTGCAATTGATTTGAACAACATTTAATTCTTTTTTGCTTCTTAGCATCTCATGCATCAAAATGCATTAAAGAAGATATCAACTATCTCCATTGCTTTAAATGTTGTTTTTCCTTCATTGCCACTGAAATAAGACTCATGAATGCATAAATCATCAACCGAGTAAGTGGCAGTTCCATGTTTGACAAGCACACAGGCCAAAATTAACAGCCTATTTAAAATATGAAGTATTAACACAGTTCACCCTGTATGCTTAATATTTAAAATAATCAATTGATAATGATAATAATAGGAATAAGAAGAAAAAAAAAAAAAGAAATTACCTTGTCTTGTCTATTTTCAAATCTGAGAATAAAGTGAGTTTTCCCTTACAACTAAAAAGTGCCTTCAGAAGCAGCTTTTCTCTGTGAAATTGGTGCAAAAGTCATGCTGTTACATATTGCTTCTTCTGTTCGGTATCTAAAAGGCTGGGGGAGATAATTTTTACGCACATATTCCCAGCCCTGCTCTATTCCCTTTGTGCTTTGCAGGATCAGAACAAAAGGTCTAGAAAGTAGGCTGGAAAAATCCGTTGTGGGTTCTCCTTGAGAGAAAGGCTCTTGAGCCCTTCCAGCACTGGCAGTACAGCTGGCAGTACAGTCAGTCACCTCCTCTCTAGCATAAGGGCTGGCCATAGGTCGTGATCCTCCCTGTGCTCCCTATGGACTTCATCTGATGAAGAATGGCAAACTAACCACCATCCACATGAGAATAAAGTCTCAAAAAGTCACTGCTCTCTTTCTCTGTGGATGTCAGGATCATCAGTATGCTTACACCATGCAGGCTGATACTGGAATTCTTTCTAACATAGCTTAATAATAATAGAGTTTTCTTAATTTTGTAAGCAGTGGTTTCACCGAATTACGGAATTATAGAAGTTGTCAGGGACCAACCCTTCCCCCACATTAATAACTGTTTCCTTATGCTTAAATATAGCTTCCTGTGTTTCAGTTTGTGCTCATTGCCTCATCATTTCAGCAGATATCATAGAAAAGAGTCTGACTCAGTCTTCTTTACTCCCTCCCGTCACATATTTATACACACTGATAAGTTCCCCCAAGCCTTCTCCTCTCCATGCTAAACAACCCCATCTCTCTCTGCTTCTCCTCATATGAAAGATGCTTCAATCCTCTAATCATTGTAGTGACCCTTGCTCCAGGGTTCCTACATCTCTCTCATACAGGGTAGCCCAGAACTGGATCCCAGTGTGTCTCACCAGTGCTGAGTAGAGGGAAGGGTCACCTCCCTCTTTGTCCTGCCGACCTGGCAGTTAAGCCAGCTTTCAGTCCACCTCACTGGCCATTTATCGAGCCCATATTTGCTCAATTTGACAATGAGGATGATATGGGAGATGATAGTGCAAAACTCTTGCTAAACTCAGCACAGACAAAATTCACAGCTCCCTCCTTTTCCACCAGGTGTCATTTCATTGTGGAAGGATGTCAGGCTGGTCATCATGGTTCCTAGATCCGTGCTGACTGCTCTCAATCATCTTCTTGTCCTTCATGTATTTAGAAACAGTTTTGAGGATTATTTGCTCCATCACTTTTCCCAGGGATTAAGGAGAGATTGGCCCCTCTGTAGTTCCTGGGTCCTTCTTGAAGATAGGAGTGAAATTTGCATTCTTCCAGTCTTCCTCTCCTAATCTCCATAACCTTTCAAAGGTAAACAAGATTGTCCTTGCAATGACATTGGTCAATACCCACAGTGGTCATGGATGCCTATGACCAATGGGCTTGTGTATGTCCACTTTATTTAAAGGTTCCCTACTCTGACTCTGCTTCACCAAGGGCAAGTCTTCCTTGCTCTAGGCTTCTGCACTGGGGATTCCTGAAGGAAAATCTTACTACTAAATGCTGAGATGAAGAAGGCATTGAGGCACCTGGCCTTTGTCAGCAGATCCTCTGTCCCATTCTGCAGTGAACGCAAACTTTCCTTTAGTCTTCTTTTCCTGGTGATATACCCATTAGAAACTTTCTTGTTGCTCTTCATATCCATTGCTAGATTCAACTCCTGAAGGTCTTTGACTTTTGTAAGCCCATCTCTGCATTGCTGGATAGTGTTTTGATATCCCTTCTGTGTTACCTGACACTACTTCCACCTGTGGTAGGACTCCTTTCTGTGTTCGAGTTTTGCCGGGACTCTCTTGTTCATCCATGAAGGCTTCCTGCCACTTTTGTTTGACTTCCTACAAATGACAGAGAACCGTGATTGAGGTTGGAGGAGGTGTTCCCTGAAAATCAACCAGTTCTCCTGGATGTCTCTTCTTTCCAGGACCTCATCTCTCCCATGAGATTTTTCCAAGCATATCTATGAAGAGGCCAAAATCTGGTCTGCTGAAGTCCAAGACCGTGATCCTACTGTTTGCCTTTCCCTCTTCTCTCAGGATCCTGAACTCCACCATCTCGTGGCCACTGCACCCAAGGCTGCCCGTACCTTCAGACCTCTGACCAGTCCTTCCTTGTGTATAAGTAAAAGGTCCAGCAGAGTATCTCCTCTCATCAATTCCTCAATCATGTGAGTTACAAAGTTGTCATCAATGCACCCCTGAACCTTCCTGGATTGCCTGTGCCCTGTTGTCTTGCCCTTCCACCAGACACCAGAGCAATTAGTGTCCTCCAGGAGGACCAGGGCCCCGGAGACGACTTCTTGTTGTCTGATGAGACAGACAATCCTCTTCCTGATCAGGCCGTCTGTATCAGATCCATCAGAACAGCACCCATCATGGTTTGCCTGCTCACCCTGACCCATAAGCTCCTCACTGTGGAGCAGAGCTCCACGTGTCCCTGTTGCACTCACATAGAGGCCAACTCACCTTCCTCACCATCCCAGCTTGCCCCTACCAAAGAGCCTGTATCCTGCCATTGCAGCACTCCAGTCCTCTGAGTGTGATTTGCCCATTTTAGAGATTTCTAAAAATCCAGGCTCCCTCTACTGAAGAATTCAAAGGTGAGTGTTTTCCTTTTCTCCTTCTCTTCAAACAAACAGAAATTCTATTTCTCAGTACTATCGTAAAGTGCATATGTTATGGTAAAAGTCATCCTATGCTGCTGTTAGTTTTGCAACAAATAAATGTTTCTATCAGAGATTCTTATCAACAAAATTAAATAGGCTTGCTAAATAAATGGCTTGCTAATATATTTCTGTGAGCCAGTTTTAAAATGGGTCACATTGTACTTCTCTTTTTTGTAACCTAAAATAGAAGTTATTATATCAACAGTGGTATGCACATAATAGAAAGTTATCTGAAATTGAGTTTTGGTCAGGTTTTTCCTTGAAAATTAAGACTTTGTAAGTGAAGTTATTGAGAATTATCATAGTATACATTTTATTTTTCTATTTTGAAATTATGTTTTTGATAGTAAAAATTGCAGCTGAAGTTCTGATTAAAAAAAAAAAAAAGGATCTCTTGGGACAAGCAATAAGTAAAGTGTACAGTCATGTTGAGAGCACAGCATTATAGAGCCTTCCTTTCCCTCCACAGGCCAAACTCTCTGCTGGCAGTTTGGGTGCATTTCCACAGGCTTCAGTGGAACCACATCAATTTACATGACAGAGAATACAGGACTTTTTTTAAAATCAAAATTGACCTAAACTGTAAAAATAAGGGTGGTGTTTAAGGAAAGGCCTTGCCAGCATTTTCTTTCACAAATTTTAGATTCGACATGCTGTGTGTGAGACTCAAGTGCCAACCCATTTCTCCCTGGAGGATCTTGCAGATGTGCAGCTGCACCTGTTCAGCAACAAAGAAACATGAGTTGTCCATAAACATTGGCACATGCCACCCACCCACAGCACGTGAGGCCATCCAGGAGTCACCAGCGTCTCACCAAGAAGAGGGCTTTCTTACAGTCGTGGTGTAATGCGGATTCAGACCTGCATAGGATGAAAGTCACCCAGCCTACCTCAGGTCTATGTGTTACTTCAGCACTAGCTGTGTTCAGGCCCTGCCAAAATAAGATTTTGCCAGTTTGTAGAGTGCAGCTGTAGAAAAAGTCTCTTCTGAGGCTGGATTTTCTCATCATCATCATGCAACCAGCCTGGACTCCCACTCACTGCTTCCTCCTAGTCTGAACAGTTTTAGTGACCTAAGCTAGACAAGGAGGGTCAAATAATTTGCAACCCTTAAAAACCAAATAAGGAAAAGAAAAGACTTTTCTTTCACCTGCTGAATAGGACAGGAGAGAACAACCTCAGGTACAAGGTCTTAAATAAATCTTGTGCTGTGCATTGTAGTCTTCTGGGATTTCTTCAGAGAGGTGATTTTCACATGGACAGAGATCAGTGAAAAGCTCCACATTCAATCTGTTTCTTATATAAAAAAATACATTTGCGTGTCTCCAGAGTGCAAGTCAGAACTGCCTGAAAGTCACAGGAAAATGAAGTGCAGAAAGGCTAAGAATTTCATGCTTCTTTTTCTTTTTATATACTTTCCAGACCCATAGATCCTGCGGGAAGCAGAGGACTTGAGCACAGGGACAGCCAGAAAGATTCAGGGCTGTTAAATTAGTAGCTTGTCTAAATCCCAAGGTAAACTAGTTGAGCTAAATTAATCTGTGAACTCTCATGTGAGATCTAGAGCCCCTGAGCAGCAAAGATATTTTGAGATGATCTAATTGTGGTTTGAAAGAAAGGATCGTAGAGGCACGAGTAATGCTATACTCTGCGCTGTGGTGGGCTTAACACACAGTTCTCTGCAAAAACTCAACAGAGGCAACAAAGACCAATGAATACGAGATCCAATGAACAGGAATCAAAGGTATTAGAAATGCACTTCTAGAAAATAGTTGCTGGGATAATCATAGGATACGACATTTATAATGCTTGCTAGGAAACTGAGATATGTGTAAAGCAAAAGAGCAGGGATGATGATTACTACTTTCAATTAATAGCTTGTGTTGCACAGGAGCTGTCCCTCATAGAAGTTTTTTCAACTTTTAAGCAGGAATCAAAGGCACCCCGGCCACATTTGCTTTCTGATGTTCAAGCAGGAACAGCCGGTAGTAGTGCCATTCTCTGGAATGAATTAGGGAATACAGGTCCTGCCAAGTTAACATTGCGTTGGGAAGGTGGGGAAGAGGTTGCGCAGTGCTGCAGCGCAGGAGCAGCACTGGGGCAATCCAGCTCTCCCTTCTGGCAGCTTTTTGGGGAGCTCAGTGGCACGGGACAGAAGTGCTGCATCCATCCTCTTCCGTAAGGAGTCTTGAGTGAACACTGTGAAAGCACGTGTGAGTTGTCATGGTCTTGTCAATCTAACTACTACAATTAAGCAAGAAAGGAACAGAGGTGATTTCCAGCATGCTGGTTAATGCACACCGAAATTTTATAGTGTGCGTATATCCACCTTCATTCAGTGGATGGAATTTATGTACTGAAATGGATTTTATTATAAAATCCCTGAGATTACACTTGTTTTTATCTCTGCATGACTGGAGAAAAGCATATTTTAAAATGCCACGTTTAAAATAGAAAATAAAATGAATACGCATTTGGCACTTTGTGACTCTGTCAAGATGTGATTAATGCTTTGCCCCATGGTCGTAGGTCAACCCTGCCATAGAAAACTTCAGATAATCTTCAGTGGCGTTTCCGACACCGTTAATGGCATGGACAAGGCTAAGATAACAACACACCATCTATATTCTGACAGCAGCTGACAGAAGGAAATCAAATGAATTAACTCATCAGACCCGTAAGGCACATTAGGAAATTCAAAACAGATTGACTGGAATGATTTACCTCTAGCACGAGGTTAATATCAGTTCCTTGTTTAGGCATGGCAGTGCTATAATCTAGTGCTGCAGTTTTAGAAATCTTGATGGCTGCTTATCCTGAGGGTTTTGTGTTGAGATGAGCCTGCATTTTATTAATTACATGAACGAATTACTACTTGCAGCAGCCACACATAACCATAGTTTAACATTGTGTGGAAGGGCTACATTTACATTCATATGCGCATGCATATGCACACAAACACACTACAAGTGCAGACATGCCAGCATTTTTGTAGTATAAACAAACAGTGCTACAATTTGCTTACTGAGAAGCATTATTAAAATTGGCAGGTATGTTACATGCTGTAAATATATTCTGTCTTTACGAAGCTGCATATGTATCCAGCGCACAAGCTTGGCAATCATCTTAAAGGAGCAAGGATTCCCTCAGTTATAACCAACAGAGAATTTCTCAGAAATTGCATTTCATCATTTGTCAACCACAAGCTGTCAGTGAAGCCTATTTACTCTTGGTAAACTCCCACCTGTGCCTCTTTCAAAGTTAACAGGTTCTATTTTTAGAAAATTGAATTTTCTCAGCATGCCAGACCACTACAGCATCACTGAAGTAATATGAGCATTCACAGCTATCATTAATACAGTATTTTTATTAAGAATTTCAATTTGTTTATAACCTTCATGAAGTGATAAACTATAGCTAAAGGAGTCAGGGACTGTAATATAGAAACATTTGCCATTATGCGAGTAGCACAATTTATACTTTCCAAATGGACAACTGGCACATCAAGGACTCCTTTTTATACTAAGGACAAAATCACTATAGCACTTTTCATTGAAAAATCTTAGTAACACAAGATGTCAGAGTATCGTGTCTCAAAATGGCTAAAACTTGACTTTTGTGCAAAGAATGAGATCCAGACAATACCATGACAAATGGTCCTGTTGACTGAAATCTGAGGGTCCTGCACACACCCTGCTCTGTGACCAGCTGCTGAGAAAAGTTCTTCTCATCCCTTTGGGGGCCGTAATCTCCTGGAGCAACAAGGGTCATCCCTAAACAAAAGCAATTCAAGCCACACAACAGCTCACTTCCCTGCCTAAGAAAATGAGGAAGGGAGGAGGAAGCCCCACCAAGCATTTTTACATCATCCCAAGTTATGCAGTCCAGCAGGGATTGTGGAGCATGGATACTTCCAGAGAGGGCCATCTTCACTGGTTGAAATTGAAGGATGAAATTACTACTGTGCAACACACATTACACTAAAAATCTGTGAATTTTGGCTCTGCCTTCATTTTCTGGTGATCTTTCGCAATGTATAGTGTCCAACAATACATATTGATAATTGTAATAAAGACTACATAAGAATATTCAATATGCAATGTCACATGATATTAAGTGCTCGCACTACAGCTTGCACATAAATTGTGACTACACAAAACAGCTTGCACAAGGCAAAATATTTTGCCTTATTAAAAAATAATAGTTGTAATGGAATGTTACAAAATAACCAAAGTAAGGACAGAATAATTTTATTTAAAGCAATTGTTTTATAATCACAATCTTACAACCTTTCTGGGAAATCTGAATTTTCTCCTGCTATCCCAATCACATTCATGAACTTGTAATGTTAAAATCCCTTCCTTAAACTATATTGGTCAACCTGTTTAAGTGAATGCCCCACATGCATACGACGCACAGACACACACCCGCAACCTTTCTCATTTTGCACTCAGAGGCGTTAGGAGAGGGCCAAGACACTTCTGCAACCAAACAAGATGCTGTTGCATGGTAGTGTTTTTCAAATTCTTGCACAGCAGATGTGCTATCCCAAATCAAGGCAAGCTCCTTGCAACCTGCCAGGTCTCCATTCAAAAGTGAGAGTCAGAATCATACACAATCCTCTGGCTTTATTTTGTTTGTTTAAAATAGCTCTATGATATCAACTGCTTCCATGGAAATATTCCAAAGAGAAACGCTAGATTTAGCTGACAGATGCATAAAATCCCATGTTGTCA